ATTTATGTTTGTATGTATGTACATATATATATATGTATATGTATGTATGTATGTATGTATGTATGTATTTATGTATGTATGTGTGTGTGTAATCTGCATTTGCTTTTTATTGAAAAAAATTTTATCCATTTTATATTATTCATCAAAGGGTTTATACTTCTTAATTGAAAACTTTTATTAATTCATTTCAATCATTCCTGTAAAAATCAAATAATAAATTATTCAAAAATCGGTTAAAATATTGAAAAAATGGAAAATAAATACAGGAATCTCTTGGGTTGAAGCAGTCGCTTATGGGCTAAGGGTTTGAAATGTCAGCAGAACACGGCCTGCTACTGAGCTCGGTTCGCATACCGTTTCACGTATATTACAAATTTACTGGAAGAACAGTGCAATAGAAATGAGGACGTTCGACTATCATGTTTCTTCCAAGCATGCATAATTTTTGGATTAGTAGGCAGTAGCAGATTAATGGAGGCTTATGAGCTGTTGGATAGGAGGGAGAAGTCATCATTTAATGAGTTCATACATCTGGTACAAGTTAACTGGGAACAACAGGGTCCATGCCCATTGTCTTCTTATACGTACGTGGTGGCAATGACCACTGTACCATGCATGCACATCTGCTGTGCAACACGCCCCTTCTCCCCACACCCCCCGCCCCCCCCGAGTTGCACCAACCTAGTTCTAGCCCATACCAGTTGTGCGGTTGGCTTCTTTCCCTCCCGCTGCTTCCTTCGCCATCAATCTCCTTCACTATGACCTTCATGTCTAGCTATATCTGAAAAGCTCATTTACTCCATCATCATCATCATCCTCTCTCTCTCTCTCTCTCTCTCTCTCTCTCTCTCTCTCTCTCTCTCTCTCTCCACAGAATGAAATAATGAAAGAATAAGAGAATAAACCCTTGCAACAAGCACCATCCGCAACCACCAAGATCAATTTTGTCTTTTTGTCCGATTTGTTATCATGCAGAATAAAAGTGCTTCAAAATGTGCAGCTCATAGATTTAAGTTTTTTTATTTTTCTTTGAAAGGAGGTCCATCTTCAAAAGTTCTCCTGCAGTGTGAAGCACTACACAGCGTTCAATAAATCCAAAAGACAAAAAAGAAATAATTCAAGGAGCCAAAAGCGGAAGAACGGCAAAAGAAGCAAAGGGAATGAAAGGAAGCATCAATTCCGTCCCGAATAGAATAGAAAGAGAAAGTCTCTCATTCACTCTCACTTTCGATTCCTCGATGAACATTCCCGACTCTACCTAGGCTTTTAGCCTTGGGTTTAGCCCTCCACTGTCTCCTCCTCGACTTCTCCCAAGAACCATTCTTAGGTTTCTTTCTGCTTCCCAAAAATGGATCGATTACTACTGAGCTCTTCCGGTTCCCACTACCACCTTCGCTCTCCTCCGACTGAACCTATAAACAACCGCCCTACAGCCCTATCATTCACTGCACTCACTGCATTCATTTCGTTCCTTCGAGAAATCCAATAGAAGTGAAAGAGAGGCAAACGATATCCAACCTCTCTTCAAAAAGAGGATGTCGGATACTGTCATAGCAAAACTACAACCCTCGCTAATCAATAACGAAATGTAGGATTCAACGCTCGCTAATCAACCATAAGAATCCAATCTTTCGACTGAAAAATTTTAGGCAATCAAGGAAGATGTACTAGTCATTCGTTATACAGAGGAATAGTGCTGGGATGACAACTAAATAGTACAACATCATCAGCAGAAGGTGATCAGCGTACATGGTAAAGGACTGCTAGGAATCCTCCGTTCAACTGATCGAGGTCAGAAGAAAGAAACTTCTAAAGAGGAGGAGGAGAAAAAAAAAAGGCATTTTTTTATAAGGAGAGTTAAAAGAGAATTAACGTACCATTACTCTACAACTCCTCCTCCTTCCTTATCTTCGATGGTATCAAGTCCTGCAGCAGCCCGTGATCCCTGATGGAGACCTCAGCTGTCCTATTGCAGCCGTGTCTCGGATCACCGGAGATGGCGACTGCGGTGGTCGGATCGGAGGTCAACATGAGAGGCTGTGGAGCGGTCATGGGGCGGAAATCCAACGGTGGAGGCGGGAGATAGCAACCGAGCAGGGGGAGGTGAACGTCCTTGGAGCGCACCGACGAAGGAAAGCCGAAACCCAGAGGAGGCGGGGGCGGTTCCAACAGGACCAGGGACGGCGGAGGGAGCGGTTGGTGAGCGCCACGTGCCCGGATGGGGCTGGGGTGGGTGTGCTGCCCCTCGTACGTCGTCACCACCACCGCCGGGTCCTCCGACGACCGCTCCACCCGCTTCTTGACGCCGCACGCGGCGCTGGTGCAACGGTAGTAACTCCTGCGCGAAAGCAAACGAAGCTCCGTGAAATACCGATCTTACCCTTGTACTTGGGAGAAATTACGGGCTTTTCTCAGGAGTGGCAGAGGGCGTAGATAAGGACCTGGGGTAGGGGCTGTTCTTGACCGCCTTTTGTCCGTACTTGCGCCACCGGTAGCCGTCTTCCAAGTGATCGACTTCGCTCCGAGTCTTGAACGCAAATCTCGGCTCCCTTTGACGCTTTTGCCCCTTCTTCTTCTTCTCTTCCTCCTTGGTCCTGCCCATTCCCCTTTTCCCACCATTAGTTCCAACCATATACTCAATCTAGCGATACCGCAGCGATTCATCATAGCTCATAAATCGCGATACTGTGTGGCTTACGTTCTGTTTGTCTTCGCCTGCTCGCCCTCGTCGCCGTTGGTGATGGAGGAGGCCGCGGGCTTGATCGCGTTGACGGCAGCCTCGGTCGAGGACGACGAGATCGACGACGGTGTCGCCGGGAAGTTGGCAGTGTCGGATGACTCCGCCGGGGGAGGAAGTCGTGGGGGAGGATCGGACGTCGCGGGCGGCGGCTCCACTGCTGAGGTCGGCCGGGGCAACTCGAATAGGAAGGGAGACTGGTTGAGATCCCGGAGACCGAGAAGCTCCAGGAAGCCGACGGAGCCCTTGTCCCCTCCGTCGGCGTCGAAGAACCCTCCAGGAAGCGGAAAGGTGGACGGAATCTGGGAGGAGAACGGCGGTGGTATCGCGTCGGCCGACGCCTCCATCTCGTCTTCTCTCTTCTCCACCATCATCGCATCACCGTCATCAGGTGCGTCGCGCTCTTTCTCTTCCTCTCTCGCTCGCTTGCTGTAATCTTAGGGTTAGGGTTCGGTTCCTACCATCGAAGTCAGGAATACAGAGAGAGAAGACTGAGATCTTTTTGTTACACAGCTACGGGGAAGGGGCAAAAAAGAAGCCACCGGCGATCGCAGGTCTCCTGGGGCGTACGGGAGTTGATGGTGGCATCGAACAGGGGCGCCAGTTTGGCGAACATGCCGGTCGGCGCCTTCATATGGTAACCGGCTCCCGAACTCCATCCGGTTTTGACAAGGACTCCCCCCTCCCGGTGTGAATGGGGCTGGGTCGCACGTGATCGGACTTCGGCGGGGCAACCCAGACGACTCGAATTTTCCGAACCGCCCCTGTTGCGTTTCATTGTTTGGGGATAAATAAGTCTTTTCGAACGGACTATTGCACGTGCGGGTCGGTCGTACGGTCGTTTTCTGGCACGTGTGGTCCCGGCCACTGACACGCGGATCCCGTGCTGACAACAATCTCCGCGTCGTCGTGTCTCGCTTGTTCCCCTGTCACACGCCAATATCGTTCAATAATAATAATAATAATAATAATAATAATAATAATAATTTTAAAATTTTAAATTTTAAATTTTTCTGACAGATTATACTAAATTTAAAAGATTCTTAAGATTTATTTTTTTAAAAAAAAATTTATTCTTTTCAATCATCATCTTTTTGTTTGTCCATCGTTCTCTTTTATCTCATGTTTGATTATCCTACTCATTCTAGTTCATTACTTATTCATCATGATCGATGATCGAATCATGATCCTTACCAACCCTTTGTCCTCCTTCCTTAATCATTCATACCTTCACACATAGATTGACAAGTAATATCACCCGCTACCATCTCTTCTTTCTTAGTTATCTATATCTTGACATGAGGGTTTGTAACATCAATCACCTACACCTTCACATTAGAGGTATTATTGACTATAGTAAAAATCGATGAGTGGATGAGAGAGTCAACGGACTAATCAATACATGATCGAGATATAATTGTAGTTAGGGCTATGTTAATTATTTTTTAAAATTACGAGGATAAAATAATCGTTCCATGTAGTCAAGGATATTCTATGAATTATTTTTAAAATTTAGAACACTAAAAGGGACAAATCTAAATTTAACTTATTTTTTTCGAAAATTCACGCTAATAATAACAACAAAACTTCGATTTCTAATTCGTACGTCTCGTTTTCTCCGTGTGTTTTTTCGTCCCAGGAAAATAGAAGAAAAATATATACATTTATATGCATAACGCGATTGCGTCGCTTAGCGTCCACCACGAATTAAGCCGGGGGGGGGGGGGTTAGCGCTCTTTACGTCACTGATCACGTACATGACAATTGACAAGTGAGTCGGGTCGCCGGATAATCATAATTTCGATTTGGCCATTTACAGTACAAGTGATGGCGAAATCGGAAAGCAACGGAGAAAATATAATAAAAAATGAGGAATTCGTGCTTCGTTTGTTTATTCGTCGAAAGAAAACGAAAATTAATTTAATTTATTTTTTGTTGGAGCTCGTGCGGAGGATATGGGAGCAGAGACGTGCAGTTGTCAACAGTTTTGACCAGGTGCGGCGGTAAACGAGAGCGACCCCTCACCAACAAACCTCCGCCAGTAGTACCCAGCGTCTGGACCGGACGAGAAGTTAAAAGATTTCAAGTCGATAGTGGAATTGAGATGGCGGGTGAGCGCGAGCCACTGGATCGCTCGAATTCGCCTGCGGGTGGTAGAAGTAGCATTGTACTGGGGCGATGGAGACTAGACTGTGGGACCCGTGGGGAGGCAATGGAACCTCAGCTGTATCCATCCAAATATGTGAACCGATTTGGGTTTATAATCCCTGCTTTTTGTTCATTGCTATGCTCCCCAGCGATATTCCACAAGATAAAAAAAAGTACTGGAGCACATGGCTCCTTCATGTCCAATTGTGACAGAGGGCAGATTATTATTATGACCAGCAATCCGCACTGGGACTTGTGCAGGCCTTTCCATCACCTCTAAAACATACATGCACATATAATATACACATCATTAGTCCAACTCCTCTTTCGTGAAGCCAACTCGCCACGATACACGGCCCGGGTCGCCGTCCTGGCGCGATTCCACGCCGCGACCGCTCGTCCCGCTGCAGCCGCACACGTGGACTTTCTTGTCCCATCACCACCGTCCGCTACCTGCATCCGGCGGTTCTCGGCTGCACACGTCTCCTTACTTTCAGAAGCCGTGCAATGTTTTACGCGGTTTCGACTCAAGCGACGTGCAGATTAATATAATGTTATGCTACCCGTTGGTTGCTTCCTGCACACGTTCCTTAGATTCGTCCCATCTCTCAATTCTATTATATATATGTTTGTCTTCATCATCTTATTGCTGCTATTAAAATAGTTTGTGACTGTTGACTGTTGCTTCTTGGATAAGTCTGGAGCCAACGAACACATCATGTTATGTTCCACAGGGAATTTGTAGTCAAAAGTCAAAAGTCCGGTGGTCGAGGTGGGCTCACAACACCATCGAACAGTACCTCTGACAGCCTAGGCAGGTCAACAACCTCCGGCAAGGTGAAGTGTGAGTATCAGGGCCGTCCAATCACCGGCCGTCGGCGGAGAAGAGTCCAGCGTCAGGCGGTGCGGTATGGCCGTGATTTCGAGCGGTAAAAGAGGTGGGGGTGATGGCACGTGGATTTGACGTGGGGTGGTGACGTCCCCCTAACTCTCATTTTAATATATTATCTCTCCGCACACTAAAATTCGCGTTACTTACGTCACAATATCATTTCTCACTATATGGTTTTTCATCAAACCAATTAAGCACAACCAACCCGGAGTTTCCATTGACCTAATTTGCTAAATATGATGTTTGCCTTTTGGTTTGCTGATGCGACCAAATACATGTGAACTTATCATATCTATTTTCAATAAATACTTCTTGTGAAGACAAGACAAATTTATGAAAAAAAATAATTTTAATTTTGTTAAAACTTGCATTTTAGAGAGAAGACGGTAAAGATGATGACATAGGTGAAGGATTATAATGTTTAAATTGAATGAATATTATATAAAAATATTTAATAATAATTAAAGAAAATATTGAACAGAAAATAAAAAGAAGACAGTTATAGCTAGTCATCGTTGACCAATTCCCTTGAGAAGGTGGAGGCAGAATTGATTGCACCAGGACATGTATCTGTTCGAAAATGGAATCAAGTAATCTTGTTCCCCCTTCGATGCTCTTAATTACGGGACTCGGCGTTGAATCTTAAATTGGTTTTTTGTGGCGTTGACCCGTTGAACGGGCATCAATAGATACAAGCCACAATCCTTTTCCTTGGCCCCATCGTATACTTCAGTAGTCCACTGTCACTAGGCTTCTTATTAGGAATACAGATTTTAAGTAATACGAGTTGTAAAGATTCCCACTCTGGATAAATCAGTAGCTCATCCACAAAAATGAATTCAATAAAAATGGGAAATATTTATGTTATATTAGATATGCTTGGTACATCGCTCATAAATTGTAGCAATGTTCCGACTCAAATCAATCTCAATAGAATTTGTGGTTGGGTTCCACATTAAGATATGATGCCTTTTTAGTTCTCTTATCCGTGGTGATTTATAGGTGTTAATATTGGCCCCATAAATGGTATAGGTGTAAAAATTTGAATCACAATAAATTCAAATCAAATTGATCAAATTTAATATATATTAAATTTAACACAAACTCAATCTAAAACTTTAAGTTTTTTTAGTTGTTGATCAAATCAATATATTTAATTTCATCTCATACATATGAATATTTTGAATAATAAAAGATAAAGTTTAGTATGAAAGAAGATAAAAATATATCATCTATAACTATTTGAAAAGGAATACAAATTATTAAATTATCATTAATCAGTTTAACTAGAAAAATCATTATCCACATAATATGATGTTCATTAATAAAGCTCGAAATAAATGTAATGACATATAATTTTGAGAATGATGATCGGTTTCTTGAACAAACAGTGGAATATGCAAGTAAAAAAGTCAATGTTGCTTTTCTTGTCCTCCGTAATAAATTAAGCCCGGTTCTAATTTTCTTGTACAGCAACAATTAGTTTGGCAGAAACAAGTTAAACGTTTAGGAAATGGTTTCGGGTGGGGACGATGGGATGCGGAAACCAAAAGTCAAAGTGCGACGCCCGAGGCCACCGACGACGCAGAGAAGCTGTAGGGTAGTCAAACTCAGGGTGCTCAAATCAAATGAGAGAAGAGCAAAGCTTCGCCTTGGAAACTATATACATAATATCTCATCGAGGAAGGACAAAACGAGACCCGTTGAATGATACGATGTGGAGATGTAGTTGTTGGGTTTCATACATAACCTGTCATGTTGACGTATACAAGACCGAATACTGATCTATACCATTGATTATTTAGTATATAAATGAGTAATAAATGTTATACATATTCCTCTTATATAAGTCTTAATATTAGTACTTAGCAAGACTGTTAAATGCTGAGAGAGAGAGAGAGAGAGAGAGAGAGAGAGAGAGAGAGAGAGAGAGAGAGAG